AAATTAGAATTAAAAAATAAAATACATAGTTATCATGTTAGTGTGGCTCTAATCGCCAATATTTGGAGTGGTAGAGCTAAATAAGATTATATTTGTGTGACTAGTCATTATTTTAATAACGAATATAAATTAAATAAATTTTAATTGGAATTTAGATTAATGAATGTGGATTATAGTGGTCAACAAATTTATAATAAAATTGTTAAAGTTTTAGAAGATTATGATGTTATTCATAAAGTGATAAATTTAACTTTAGATAATATAAATTTTAATAATAGAGCTATAAATTTTTTTAAAATAAATTTTCCTTTTTAGGACAATTTGAAGTTTTTTCACCAACGTTGTGCATGTCAAATTATTAATTTAATTGTAAAAAATAGTATGAAAAAATTAGAAATAATATTAATAGAATTAGAGATTCTTTAGCTTAAATTACTAATAGTAATAGAAGAAATATTGAATTTCAAGATGTTTGTATAAAATCAAATATCTTTCTTTAAAATTACTATTTATTTTGTTCAGCTTGAATTGAAGAACTTATCTTAGATATATTAATGGTTAATTTCCGTTTGGCAATACGAAAGCAAAGAAATGGAAATACTAAATTTGTAAATGAACAAGCCCACCTAACTCTTATGATTCAGAGTTTTTTTTTTTTTTTAATATATATATAATTTAGGCATCTTCCTGGAAAAACATATAAAATCAATCAAATGCACAAAATTGTGGAAATTAAAAAAAAAAAATGTTGCATGACCTACATAGTCAATCGCTTAGTTGCTTGTTTAGTTGTTAGTGATGCGATTATAAGTCTGATCAAAAAAAAAAAAAAAAAGAAAGAAAGAAAAAAGGAAAAAAAAGGCAAGGCTCCTTCTAAGAAAGAAGATAAAAGTTATAATGCAGAGAACGTGATGCAAATACTCAATTATATGATGTCTTAGTCAATGACATCTTGCTCTTCTTCCACTATTGCTAGTTTGGTTTTTGTAGGGTGGAAATTTAGAATTTTTATTTTTGTATTTTATAAGAACCGAATATGAATTAAAAGCCAATTGGCCTGTTAGAGCTCATCCTAATCTACAAAAACATATTGTTTCACTGTACGTACCATGTTAAATATGGAAGCCTGAAAACAGCGTCGTTTAAGTAACACTAATACGGCGTCGTTTTAGGCGTATTAATTTGGGCAAATGCAGACCACAGGATTCGTTTCAGATTGAACGGTCAGGATCACTCACAGAGTCAAACCATATATAAGCGCATGATTCATTCAGTCTTGAGAGAGAGAAAACGAAAGAGGCTAGGGTTATATTGAGTCGGCTATTTTCTCTGTGTTAGGGTTGAGATTCAATTCCAGATTGTGAGTATCAGTCGAGTGATTAGGGGCTTTAATCATTCAGGTGAGAGTGTTGTTCTCTCGGGTTTGGGATATTCATAGTGTATCTTGTAAGGCTGAGTGCTGTTGTAAAACGGGTAGATCTGGTGAGTGTTGAATCTGTGTAATCTTGACTGGTTTCTGGTAATCGAAGTGCAGCGAGCTCATACCTTTCTTGAGCTCAACGTGGATGTAGCTTATCCATAAAAGGATAAGTGAACCACAGTAAATCGTGGCTTGTTCTGTGTGTTTGATCTTTGTGGTATTCTTATGTTTCTTGATTTGATTGTGTTGTGTGATAGATCAGTTCTTGCTATTAAGGTATAACATACCATTTATTCAACCTTGTGTCAATTATCACTTGCATCTTCCGAGAAAATAGATGAATACAATAAAATAGAAAAAGGAAAGGCAACTTCCTTTCCTGGACAAAAAGATGAAAGTAGAAATCCACAACAATCCATGCAAAGACTTGGAGACAGTGGAAGAGTGAAATCCAATTTGGTCCCGAGGTATGGTCTAAGTAACACGAGGTCCAGTAGGATGTGATAGTATTACTTACTACTTAGGTCCTTATCAATTCTTTTATTGCCAATTCATTCAATCTTATTTTATTAGTAATTTGTTAATTTAATTTTTTGTATTAATCTATATATTTATTTGTTGACACGTCAATTTGTATGAAAGTCTTTATATATACACTTAGAATTATTCAATAAAATAATAACATTTAGACAAATTGAAATAAAGAAGTATCAATTGGATGGATTTGTGTCAATTGTTTTGAGTAAAAGATTGAAGCCGACTCATACGAACCCTTATGATTTAGAGTTTTTAAAATTTTAGGTAAGGCATGCATCTTCCGAGATAAGTGTTGAAAACAATAAAATAGAAAATGGAAAGGCAACTTCCTGGAAAAAATATGGAAGTAGAAACCCACAACAATCAATGCAAAGACTTAGAAACAGTGGAAGAGTGAAATCCAATTTCGTCCTCGAGGCATGGTCTAAGTAGAATTATTCAATAAAACAATAACATTATGACAAATTGAAATTTTAAAGAATGATCAATTGTATGGGAGTTAGGTATCAATTGGATGGATTTCTGTCAACTGTTTTAAGTATAAGATTTAAAGCCGATTCTTACCTAACCCTTATAATTTAGATTTTAGAGTTTTGAAAATTTTAGGTAGGGCATGCATCTTCTGAGAAAAGAGATGAAAACAATAAAATAGGCAACTTCCTGGAAAAAATATGAAAGTAGAAATCCACAAGAAGCAGTGCAAAGACTTAGAGATTATAGGAGAGTGAAATCCAATCTGGTCCCCGAGGTATAGCCTCAGTTGTAAGGTCCAGTAGAATGTGATAGTTGCTGTAGGTCCTCATTAGTATCAGCTTTTTTAAACTTTTTTTGTAAACATCTAAAATACCCTTAACAATTAATTTTTTATTTCTTATAATTAGTGGAATTGTTCCAAATATTTACTAGGATTCTCAATTAACAGCTGTTTTTTTTTAATAGTTCTATTAATTTTTAATTTTATTTACATAAGAAAAATTTAGATGTATTTTAGACTTTAAAAAAAATATTAAAAGCTGTCACCTTACAACGACCTAAGTGTTACTATTAGATTTTTACTGGACTAGGATTGTAAGCCGAGCCGAGTTTAATTAGACAACAATAAAGTAAAAAAGCATTATATAATATATGTTCCACATGAGATTTAAATAAGTTCATGTTTCCAAATAATCAAATCATCTAAACGTAGTCAATGATAAATTTTCGCTCTTAGTTACTATTCAATCTAAATATGAAAACGTAGTCAATGATAAATTTTCGCTCTTAGTTACTATTCAATCTAAATATAAACTACTTTATGAAAAAGAATCTTTTATGTAAGAGGTTTATGACCATATTCAGTCTTAGGTAATTTATTTTTTCTTTCATATTTTCAGCATAATTGAAAATGAATCCTTATTGATTCATGTGTTCAAAAGTATATTTTAAAACATCATCTCTAATTAATTATTTAATCACAGAAAAAATAAAAGCAGGGAGATCAACAATTCATCAACGTTTTATATAAATATGCGAATTCAAGTTGTTAGGATCCCACATCCGCTAAGTATGGGATTAGTGTTGTTTGTATAAGTCATTTTTCATCTATTTCTAAAAGGGGTATTTTTGTCATTTAATTATAAATTTAATAGTCAAATAACATTTTTATTAAGTCAACGGACTAAAACATAGTATTTTGAAACTAGAAAGACTATATTGTAATATTTGAGACAATTATCCTTTAAGTGCTAGCAAACTGAAACCGCGTGGACTAAAATGTTCTCTAGGGTAATTGCCCAGTGAAAATATATCTAGTCAAAGTCATTGACGGACCAACTTATATAGGAGTGGGAGCCGGTGACGCCACTCAAGAAATTTCCTTTTTATATTTGGTTTTATTTTTTTTTATTTTAAATAGATTGTATTTATATTAATATTTCTATATTTGAACCCAGCTATTTTTTTTTTCATATTTTTTCATATTTTATTTTGAATTTACCCCTCTAAACAGAAACAAAGTGATTACAATTCTTTATTTATTATTATTATTTTTTTAAGGAATAATAAAAAGGAGGAAAAATTATTCTGTTTTAGTAAAAATTGATGGAATAATAAAGTCATTTTTTTTTTTTTTTATAAGAACCCAATATGAATTAAAAACCAATTTACCTATTAAAACTCATCTTAATTTACAAATACAGATTATTTCACTGTACGTACCATTCATTCATTCATTGAGTTTTTACAATATTAGGGCATGCATGCATCGATCTTCTGAGAAAGAGATGAAAATAATAAAGAATAAGGCAATGCATCTACCGAGAAAAAAGATGAAAGTAAATTTAAAGTATAACAATTGTCAATTGCCACACGGTGGTCTTGATCACCTGCATCGAAAGACAGAACAAAAAGTGAAAGCACTTCAAATTTTAGGTACAGCAAACAAAACTTTATTAAGAGTTAGTTTGGGATTGTTTTAGCTTTAAATTTAATTAGTTTTTCTTTAATTTTGGAAATAATCAGTTTTGAAAATAATTTGGAATGTGTTTATTAAATAATTGGTATGATTTCTTAAGCGATTATGTAATCAGCAAACAAAACTTTATTTTTATAATTGGTATGATTTTAATATATATGACTTTTGTTATTGGTAAATTAGATTTTAAAATTGTTGTGGTATATATATATAAACTAAAAAGAATATTTCATTTTTCAAAATATTTTTATAATTATTTAATAAACATTAAAATAATTTAAGTGCCATATCCCGAGGTGGCACCGCCCCTGCTTTGTTTCATGAACCTTTTGAGAAGGTTTTGATTAATTACTCAATATTATAAAATAAAATTAAGTTACTCTCACCGAACCCTTAGAATTTTGTGCAGGGCATACGTCTTCCTGGAAAAGAGATGAAATAATAAAATAGAAAAAGGCAGGCAACTTCAGGGAAAAAAGACGAAAAAATAAAACAGAAAAAGGCACAGCAATCAATCAAAGACTTAGAGATAGTGGAATATAAACTCCTTTACTCTCTTATGTGATGTTTTAGTTTAGCCCTCTACGTTTTGTTAATCTGCAGTGCCTCTGATCACTGGAACTTAATGGCTTCTTCTTCTTCTTCTTCCACTACTCCTAAAATAAAGCACGAAGTTTTTCTTAGTTTCCGAGGTGAGGAGACCCGGAAAAACTTTGTAAGCCATCTGAATGACGCCTTATGCCGGGAAAAAATGATTACTTTCATCGATGATAAACTTGACAGAGGAGAAAAAATTTCTCCAGCTCTTTTGAGTGCAATTGAACAGTCAAAGATCTCGGTTGTCATTTTATCTAAAGGGTACGGTTCTTCGAGATGGTGTCTCATGGAACTTGAAAAGATTATTGAATGCAAGGAAAAGTACGGTCAGACGGTAATTCCGGTCTTTTATCACGTAGATCCGTCAGATGTAAGGAAACAAACTGGGGATTTTGGGAAAGCATTTTCTCAGCTTGAAGAGCGTTTTAAGGTTGATGATCCAGAGATGTTGCAGAGATGGAAGAGTGCTTTGACGTACATAGGCAACCTGTCTGGCTTTGTTTCGGATAACACTAGGTAATCGTTAATTTATTATCAATAATGTCTTTTATGTAGTAATTTTACTTTCAGCTGTTTGTTTTTATTTTTTATTTTATTTTATATTTTCAAATTAACTATGTTTTTAATTTTCTTTTATAATGATAAATATTGAAACCTTATTATATATATATATTTTAATCAATGCAATTATAACTTCCCGAAGATGATAAAGAAAATAAAGGAAATCATTCAGAGTATAATTTATTAGATTATAAAGAATTTGTCCTGTATCAAAACCTTAATTTATTAAGCTTGCATCATATGTGTTTTATTTATTTATAATCTACAATTTCGTTTAGTTTTATTTTTTGCTTAATTATTGGATTGGATTATTAAATTTGTATATGATGTGTCTTGGTTACAATCTAAAATCTCATTTAGCTTCTTTTTAGGCTTAACTCCTGAATTTCGTAAATTTTAATTTAGCATGTTATTGTATTTAATTATTTGAGGCGGTAATTTGAATTGTATAAAGTATTGAGGGCCCAAAAACTAGCAATTTTTATTTTTTTTAATTGAAGGGATGGCACGGGTCCACCTTGGGCCTTAATTGGCTCCGTCATTACCAATAACATGGCCAAACTACGCATACCCAAGGTTTGTCGAAACGACAAGTTGGTACTCAAAAGGTTTTGAAACGACAAACAAGTACCTTTCGTCATGTGTTGTTAGTGATTTCTGTTTATTCATAGTGAAAAGACTAAGATACCCTTAAAACATTTGATATTTTAGATTTTTGTAAATTTAAAAATTTCTTAAAAACCCCCCAGGTTTGCTAATTTAACTAAACACCCCCATATATAAAAAGTTTGTTAAATGACAAAAACACCCCCACACCTGCAGTGCCAGATTCCGGCCACCACCGTCGGAATCTGGCCGAAAAATTGCGCTATGACAGATCCGTTGGATCTGTGTCGTAACGTGTCGATCTGGCCGGGAAATGTCAGATATGGCCTTCGAGGTAGCAGATGGAGTTTTGCGGCCTCGACAGCTAGATCTAGCCTTTTCGGCCAGATCCGTACTGATCTGGCCGGAAAAGGCCAGATCTACGGCTAGATCTGGCTGTCGTGGCGGCAAAACTCCATCTGCGGCTTCGATGGCCAGATCTGGCCGGAAAAAGCCAGATCTGGCCGGAAAAAGCCAGATCGATGCGTTACGACACAGATCCGATGGGGTCTGTGTCGTAACGCAATTTCCGACCAGATTCCAGCAGTGGCGGCCGGAATCTGGCACTGCAAGTGTGGGGGTGTTTTTGTCATTTGACAAACTTTTTATATATAGGGGTGTTTAGTTAAATTAGCAAACCTAGGGGGTTTTTTAGAAATTTATAAAAAACTTAAAAATTCAACCTTTAAGGGCATTTTAGTATTTTTACTATAAACAAACAGAAATCACTAACCGCATATGACAGAAGGTACTTATTTGTTGTTTCAAAATCTTTTGGGTACCAACTTGTCGTTTCGGAAAACCTTGGGTATGCGCAAGTCGTTTGGCCTCAATAACATTAGGAAAACTCAGAGTAAATGATTTTTTTTCCACCCAAATAATGACTTCTTTCTCACCCATAGACTTTTAAAATACCATTTTATTATCCAAATTTATATTATGTTTCTGATTTTGGCATCGTTGGGACCCCATACCACCACAATTTTTTTTTCTGATCATCACTCACCAAAACCCCTCAAACCTGACTCCCCCCGACCTGCCAATCGCTAGCAATCGAGTGATTAAGGTTTTTGCAACCGCTCATTCCAAGTCAAATTCCGATCAATTTCAACCATCAAAATCCAACCGTCTACCACCAAAAGACTCATCGACCTCCGCTCTTTAAAAGTCCCAATAGCCTTGATTGAGTTTGCTCTCTGTTTGTTGTTGGTATATAAATTTGGATAGTATAAGTGGTATTTTAAAAGTTTGTGGGTGAGAAAGTGTCATTAAACCATTATATGGGTGGCAAAAAAGTTATTAACTTGGAAAACTAATTCTAATAGAAAAAATGTTTCCTCTTAACAATTACATTCCTTTGACAAAAGAAAAAAAAATGAAAACTAAGAAATCAGTCTAACATATGATAAGAAATCATAAGAATCCTAATTCTTCAAAAACAAACTCTAATTAATAGGGAAAATATAATAAAATAAAAAAACTCCTAAGGTTAAGATGAAATGTATATATGCTTGATTATAGGATTGGATTATTAAATGTATGCATCTTTTTAAAATACGATACATGTTGAAATCCAATGATTTGAAATTAAAATAACTTGAAAACATGTTACACTGCGATTGATAACTTCTTTGGCATTAAGGTTTTCTAATCTTTTAGCTGTTACGGGGTACATTTTTAACCTTAATAATTTAGATTATAATTTTGTAACTATATTCCAGCTATAACTTCCTCTTTTGATGAGGCTATCACTATTAGAAAAATTGGTTTCCTTGAAGTGGCTTTTCTTGACAATTTTTAAAGTGTATGAATGTCACCGAACAAGACGTCGTCGTCCATGACACCAAGACAAAAAGAAAATTAACATCCTACAAATGCTACATCAAGCCATTCAAAAGACCCAATCTATTGACAAGAACATAAAACACCTTAAGCAAGAACATAAAAAACAATCACTTTTGAATATAAAACAATCATTGAAAATCCAACTTTGAAAACGATTAATTTATAGATAAACCCTATAGGCAAACAAATTAAAAAAATATTCAAATTCTTAACCTTTAGTTTTTTATATGATATCATTTGATAGCTAATTACTGATTAATTCCTTTTTCCATAAACTGCATTTTCATTTCTTTTGTAGTAGTTGAGCATTGATCTTTATTAGTTGACAGATGTCATTGAGTATCATAAGTTTTGTAAGTGATTATCAATTATGTTTGAATCGAAATTTGGTGCCATTGAACTTTCAATTTTATTTTTTAATAAGAAAATATTCTAGTTCTTGTCATGACAGTTCATTATTATGCCAACCTTATATATTGAAATTTAGGGCAATAGAGTAGTTTAATACTCTATTCCATAATTTTTTCATATCCTAGGATGGAAAACAAGCCGTTCTTTGATCACTTTTTAATAAGTAAAGTCTTCGTTGGAGTTTAGTTTTAGGAATTAAAGTTATGTTATCTTTGTTTCTTTTTCATTCATCTAATTTTAGTATTATTTTATTTATTTACTTTTTACCTTTTAGGCACGAATCATCACTTGTAAAGGATATCATTAAAGATATTTTGAACAAATTGAATGATGAGTTCTCAGAATTTGACAACAAGAACCTAGTTGGATTGGATTCAAAGATTGAGAAATTTGAAAACTTATTATGTACAGCTGGTGTTTGCAAGCTAGGAATTTGGGGCATTGGGGGTATAGGTAAGACAACTCTTGCTGACGCTATATTCAAAAAAATCTCTAAACAGTTTGAAGCTTCTTACTTTATTCCAAATATTAGAGAAGAATCAGAAAGAGGCGGGGGATTATATTGCTTGCGCCAAAGATTTAGTTCTGCGATTTTAGGGGATAAACATTTCAATAATGGATTCACCTTGAAAAAGAAAAAGCTTGGCCCTATTATTCTTGTGTTTGATGATGTGACAAAATTAGAACAAATAGAATATTTAATGGAAAATTTTGACTACGTCGACTCAGATAGTCGGATAATCATAACGACAAGGAATAAACATGTTCTAAATGAATTTGAAGTGGATCCCAAACACATAATTGAGATGGAAGGATTATCTGGTAATGAAGCTTTTCAACTCTTTAACCAATATGCCTTTGGAGGAAACAGTCCAGCAGAAGATTATTCTGAGCTATCATCAAGGGTAGTAGCATATGCTAAAGGTGTTCCTCTTGCTCTTAAAGTGTTAGGTTCCTATCTATTTAAAAGGACAAAAGAAGATTGGGAAAGTGCTCTAGAAAATTTGGAAAGAGCTTATCATATGGATATCCATAAAGTATTAAAAGTAAGTTATGATAGGCTAAATTATGAACAACAGCAAGTATTTTTGGATATTGCATGTTTCTTGAAAGGGTGTGAAAGAGATCTTATACAAGTACTCTTGGATCCCCGTGGCAACACCTCACATCATAATATAAATGTTCTCATTGAAATGAGTCTCATAACTACCTCATCCAACATCATGACAACCTCACCACCCAACGTCATAAGTATAACAATGCATGATCTACTTCAAAAAATGGGTAGACAAATCGTTCGCGAAGAATCAGCTAATAATCCTGAGAAACATAGTAGGTTGTGGGATCCTGAGGATATCTGCTCAGTATTGAAAAACAATACGGTGAGAGCCAAAAACACTAATTTTTTTATTTCTACTTTATATATAAGAAACAATAAAATATTAGCTTGCAGAATATTCCTTCCATTATCCTTGGGAATTAGCTTAACTGGTAAAGTAATTCGGTGGGAATCTGAGATCTCTTATATTTACATATTTTGAAAAGAAAGTTAAAAAAATGATGTTTAATATGAGAATTAAGTACTTGACAGTTTTTTTTTTTTTTTTTTAATTGAAACTCTGGATAAAGGAATTACTTGACAGATTATATAATTAAGAAATTTCAAACTAATTTATCATCAATCTGCTCTTGATTTTTAGGTGACAGGAACTGTTCGAAGCATAAGCTTGGATATGTCTAAAGCAGGAAAGATACATTTAGAACCTGAAGCTTTCAATGAGATGCATAACCTAAGGTTCTTGGAAGCCTACGGCTTCACGCGTGGTGTCAGGGTATATGGTTTTGAAGACCTTAAATCTAATTTCTCTGAGCTAAGGTACCTTAGTTGGTTTAATTATCCTGCCAAATCATTGCCACCAAATTTTGATCCAGAGAACCTTGTTGCACTCTACATGACATATAGCGAAGTTAAGCGACTTTGGACTTGTGACAAGGTATTTGTTAATTTGTATATTACCATTTTTTGCTTTAAATTGTAAATATTTAAATGTTATTTCTATTTTTTAATTTATTCAATTTGTTCTTTTGTTACAGAATCTTAACAATTTGACACATATTGACCTCAGTCACTCCCAGAATCTACTCAAAATGCCAAATCTCTCATTTTGTCCAAATCTTGAGAGCCTGATTCTACAAGGTTGTACAAAATTGTATGTGGATTTCTCATCTATCCGTGATCTCAATAAGCTTGTCCTCTTGAATCTAAGAGAATGTAAAAGCTTTCAAAGTCTTCCAATCAACCCTGGTTGGAGATCTCTTCGAAAACTTATTCTCTCCAAGTGTTCAAATCTCAAAACAGTTCCATATATCCCCGATACAGTAGAAGAGTTATTTTTAGATGGAACTGCAATAAAAGAATTGTCGTCATTAAAGCATCTTTCCAGCTTAAAAATATTGAGTCTTGAAAATTGCTCAAAGCTAGAGAGTCTCCCAGAGAACATTGGTGAGTCAGAAAATCTTCGAATAGTTATTCTCTCCAATTGTTCAAAGATCAAAACAGTTCCATGCATCCCTAGTAGTGTAGAAGAATTATATTTGGATGGAACTGCAATCAAAGAATTGCCGCCATTAGAGCATCTGTCTATGCTAGTAACATTGAGTCTTAAAAATTGTTTAAGACTAGAGAGTCTCCCAGAGAGCATTTGTGAGGTTAAATCTCTTCAATGTCTTTATCTTTCGGGTTCTTCAAAACTTGACAGCTTGCCTAACGGCCTGAAAAATTTAGAAGCACTGGAGGAACTTGAAGTGGAGGGAATTGGTATAAGAGATATATCGTCATTGACTTTAACATGTTTGAACAACCTTAAGATATTATCTTTCCAGAGATGTGGGCTTCAGAAGCCACCGGTTTCCCTACTGTTACAGTTACCGGCCTGCCACAAACTGGAGCAGCTAAATCTGGAAGACTGTTGTATTGAAGTGTTACCCGAAAATTTTAGCGAATTACGCTCACTGAGATTTTTGTATCTTGGCTGAAACAATTTTGAGAGTCTGCCAGAGGGTATCAAAGACCTGTCTAATTTGTGTGAGCTTGATTTAAGCAATTGCCAGAGGCTGAAATCCTTACCGCAATTTCCAGATAAGTTACGACGTATAGAAGTAAAGGGTTGCACATCACTGGAAGCGGTATCAGGTTTACCAAATCAATGCCTAAGTATGGGGACTCACGAAGAGGAAATTAGCTTCATCAATTGTTGCAATCTGAATCTGGATTTGACAGATACTCTGCCGAATATTGAGAGAAATGCTGATCTGTGGTTTAGGTCTGAAGTAAGTCTATCTCTCACTCTCTCTTTTTCATATTATATAATATAAAAATTTATTTACTTTTATAGATAAAATGTTATAGAATTATAGAATATCTAAAATTAAGAAGGTTAGAAGGTGATGATTTTCTTGGCACAGGAAAACAAAACATCGCTGTCAAGTGTTAACCTGCCAAAGGCATATAGCCCACCAAAGGCTTCTTTATGTTACCCTGGAAGCGAAATTCCAGATTGGTTTACCTTTGCAAGTCAGAATGGTTATATAGAGCTTCCATCAGGTTGGCTCAATGATGACTTAATTGGTTTCGCTTTGTGCGCTGTTGCATCATTTCGAGACTATAGAGAGGCTGGAGCTTCGCAAGTTCGTTGTTTTCTGGTTGTTGGCGAGACAATCGTTTCCTCTGGCTGTTTGTTTAATGATTATGGACATAAGGTTATTGAATCAGATCATGTATTCTTAGGATATGATTATGATATCATGGCCTTGGAATTGCTTACTCTCAGCTCGAATAGCAAGGGCTACATGGAGTTCTTTGTTGAGCATGGAAGTAATAATTGCAGAAAAAAAACCAAGTTGAAAAATTGTGGAGTCAGACTGTTGTACGCCAAAGATAATTATATGAGAACAGATGCAAGAGTGGACAGACACCTGAGATTTCCAGCTAAAAATGGTTGCTTGAGGTGCTCTCTCCGTTGCTGCGTGAAACATGATGAAATGTACGAAAAAAACCCGTACGAAATTTTAGATAGGTGGTCCCCACATTCAGAAATATACAAGCCACCGATAAGAAAGGATTAGTGAGTTGGATTAAATTCACGAAATTATTTCGGTTTGGTTTCTAATATTTGATTTATAGGTGAAGCATAACTAACCTTATTATTTCAAAAGAAAAAAAATAAATAAATGTAGAAATAACATATGGCTGTGTTATTATCTTTTTTATAGATGTAAATATTCACTGTATTTTACAGTTTAACGTATACCGGGTACAAAGTGGTTGCACACCGTGTGCATCGGAAGCGCCTGGATTGGGCTAGACTTTAGTCAAACTTGGAGGTTGGAATCTTCTTAANATAGTTAGTAACATTAATATACAACAGAAAGATAATCGCATAAATATCAACATATTACCTTAGCACCAGGCCAAAGTTGTTCAATACTGCTATAAGGCATATCAAGTGCCACAAGGTTCTCCGGCAAGAAATTTGACAACAATGATTTCAACGAGCATCCATGCCAACAAAGGTACCTTAGCTCTATAGAAATAGAATTAAGGCCTTCAGAAACAAGTACCCCACTACTGTTATTCTTTTCATAGTTTGAGTTATGTAGTTTAAATAATCTCAAATTATGCATCACTTCCAATGCACGAGGTTGGAAGTGCATGATTTGTCTTTCTAATTGGGACATATCCAAACATATGCCTTCTATCGCTTCAGTCCACTGACAATCAAGAAAATATGACAATTAGCTAATTATAAACACTCAAAGCTTAAATTACTAGGTACCAGTCAAAGATTTAAAATTATTTTGTACTCTTTTTATAATACTTAAATATAAAACACTCTTCCAAGCTCACCCAAACCTTCTATTGCGTAAGCAAATGCAGAAGGAAAAGTTGAAACAAAATTTTCATAGCTGATGTTTTCTTAAATCTCACATGTATGAAATAGAAATCAAAGGGAGGGATGTAGTTTAAAAATGAAAAAATTAAAAAAAAAAAAAAAAAAAAAAAAAAAGGTCTAAGATTTGTGGTTTTCTTTATTTAGTAAATTACCTTAGATGTCACATTTTGTAACTAAGCTTCACAAAAAAATTGGAAAATTACATATTTTCTTTGACACTTACTGTTTTTCCTTCCAATACTCTATATATATCTTCAGGATACCATAGACGACTACATCTACCAGGATGTTTCGTGGATTCTTGCCGCACAATTTCCCAACCCATTTCTTGAAGCAAATTATGAGTTATTATTTTGTTATCACATGATATGGTTACTAGACATTTGTCAATGAGAATAGTTATTCCAAGTTCTGCATAGAAGCCACAAGTATCTAAGAATGCTTGCAAACTCTCTATCCTCCCATTTTAGAAAACAGGCAATATCTAGAAGTATGCACCTTCTCCAAATCTTCAAGTTCATCGTAACTTATTTTTAGCACCTTCTGAATATTCTCATTCGGAATTATCTGTAATTTCTCTAGTGTACTTTTCCAAAAATGTTTGGTCTTGTCATATAAAACAGAACCTAACACCACTTTAAGAACTAATGGAACGCCTTTAGCATACCTTATTACATCATGTGATAACTCATCATAATCTCTTAAAGAATGATTTTGTTGAAAAGCATACCTATTAAAAAGCAGATGAACATCATCTTCAGATAATCCCTCTATCCTAAATATATTATGATCAGACAATGCACAATTTTTAAGCACTTGCTTATCCCTTGTTGTAATGATAATTTGACACAACAGAACAATGTGATTAAACATTATGACAAAACAAATTTACAATAAGAGATTCAACGGCTATGGGTAAAATCTATTTGATGAAAGGAAGATACAGAAAGTTACCTGCATCATCTTTGGTGAAACACATTGGTGGTTTGATTCTGAAAACATTTCCATGTAGTCCACCTTTCCCAACAAGAACACCGAGCTCCGCAATTGCAACGAGTCAATGTAAAATGAGAATTAAGAGCTTTTCTCTGAAGAAGAGAGTTAGTTAATTGTACCTCTAAGTTTCTCAAACAAGACTGCAGTTTCAGCCTTCGCAGGCGTCTTCTCCTTCCTGTCAGATACTAATTCTACTCCCACCATGAGTCCTCTCCCTCTCACATCTCCAATGACTGAAACAGGATTTCATCAATGTGAGAAAAGCTGCAAAATAAAGTTGCAATTCCAGAGCATAAGACATTTAATCTCCGGTACTCAAATAGCTGTTCAATTGAACAAAAATAGATACAGCCAAAGAATCAGAAAGCCACAGAAAGCTTTGTCAGATCTATGTGAAGACTGAGGATGTTCAGAATAAGTAGACATTGTGTATCAGCAGCACAGGACATGTTATTATCAGTCTCTACAGTAGTCATATCACACCATCATTTTAATATGATGATGTGATGTCAATCGGTGCTTCTACCAAATCTCCAAATGCCGTTATAAGACAAATGATTTGTTTTCAGTGCCGCATGCAAACCTATAGAATGAAAATAGAACCACAATTGGGTTTTCCACTCATATACATATTCCTAAGGAGCTTAGTTCATAAAATTCTGGCATACACTAATTCAAAGTCTTAGTATGACTGTAATGAGCTTACTCAAAAACTGTGTCTAGGAATTTCTTTACATGATATAGAAATTATGGTTAAATAGCCCAGATCTCTCCGAATTTGCAGTTCAATTTAATGTAAAGTCAAACACAATCAATTGAGAAAAAAAGGGAAAAAAAGAACACTTGAGAAGTTTTTAGTTCAAGAGTAATTACTATCATGTCTCTCTTGTAGAGCTCTCAAGCATCCAATCAGGTGAGAGCCAATGTCAGCACAATGTGCTTGACGCTTCTCTTTATCAATAACCCTGAGTACCGCAAGCCCCCCAGCAGAACATACTGGGTTTCCACCAAAAGTGTTGAACTGAATCTTCTGAGCCATTACACTAGCTATCACTGGTGTTGTCACTACAGCTCCTAATGGCAAACCATTGCCAATTCCCTGGAAAATCATATTATCGTAATGTAAATGAATTATCTGAATGAGAACCATAAGAAGGGAAAAAAAAAAAAAAAAACTAAATTGGTGATAATATTGAAAAAGGATAACTCTTTATGTATAGGGCAACATTAAGAACTAAAGGGATTATCATCAAAACCTTTGCCATGGTAACTATGTCGGGGATGACCCCTTGTGTCTGAATGCCCCAGTAGTGGCTTCCAGTGCGACCAAATCCAGTTTGCACTTCATCAGCAATGCAGACACCACCAGCCTTGCGCACAATGTCATAAACATGTTTTAAGTATCCAGAGGCCAATTCCACTGATCCACCAACTCCCTAAATTCAGTCAAAATTTTGAAAAAGGGAAGTGCAATGTTTAGAGACCAATTCAGGGCTGTTGAAAGCACCAAATTTATATATATCTTTAGGGACAACTATCAATAAAAACCTGAATGGTTTCAGCTATAAAACCAGAAACTTTTCCTGAACTTCCAAAATCAATGTGATCTTGTACGTCTTCGGCATAAAGGGCCACATTCGGGCCAAAGATTCTGTGGTATGGATCTGGATTTACAACAGGATAGATTTCACCCTGCAAAGTGGCACGTCAGATTATGAACACAGGTTGAATTTCACTCTTAAACATGTTATTTAGTTTCCCGTTTCATCAAATAAACAAATAAAGAGAATAAAATAAGTATATATGATACAAATAAATTTAGTCGTCACTAAAAAATTCAGAAAACTTGCTACAGTTATGGGTATTTGTCAGAAGACAAAACTGAAGAAATAAGCATGCCAAGGCCAATATTTGTGAAGTAAGCTGTAATTCACACCCCATGTTAACATTGTTGCTAAACCAGCTTACCCTTAACATTGTTGAATACTTACTAAACCAGCTTACACTTGTGACAAGTGTATGAAAGAAGAAAGAAATGTTATTAATCCCTATTGTTGCTCAGATGATAAGCTTCACACTATGTTGTCATTCCAAACAAAAAACCATGTTAAATACATATCCTCCGAACGTATAGAATGTCGACAAACCTGTGGTATGGGGTACTTCCACATGTTTAGGACAGTCAGTCCAATTGTATTGGAGCTTCCACCATGATAAGCATTTCTTAGGGCAACCATGCCAAGATTACCACTGTAAAGTCTAGCCATCAACATTGCTAGTTCATTTGCTTCTGTCCCAGAATTGACGAAATACACAACCTGCATTTCAAATCTCAAAGTAAATTATAGACATTTACATTGTAATCATAATGTTGTTATTAAGTTGCCATCTTAATGTGTAATGTTATAAAATGAAAATCTCATCCAAAAAATATCACAATATAACAGAAAGAATGACATCAAGTGCTAGACTCGAGAACAAACCATTAGGTTTCCAGGCATTTTTGATGCTAATGCCTCAGCAAAGTCAGCTATAGTATGGTGTAAGTATATAGTCGTTGCATGCTGGAGAAGATTGTTTTGCTCTGTAATCGCATTCACGATATCAGGATGGCAATGCCCACTAGACACAGTAACTCTTCCAGCAAAAGCATCGAAGTACTACCTCCCGCTTTCGTAAAACAAGTATTGCATTTTCCTTTCAACAATATTGAGCTGTACACCAAAACAAAGAAATAATACCGGCTAATCACAACAAGGAACGGCAAAAATAAAGAATAACCAATCATGCAATAAACTAGGCTTAGTATTTGGGTACAACTTTGCTTTACAAACCAAACATTGCAAAAATTTAAACAAGTTCATAAAAATTCAGCACACTCTTGTCACATAGATAATCCATTTCTCTTCAGCAATATCAGCAGTAACTCAAAAACGACAAACAACTAATTGGATTTTTTGATAAAAAGTGAGAATCAAAGTAGAAATTAAGCAATTATGCAACTCTCTTAACTTCATATCGAGTATGCTTATAACATTAACTAAGAATTTATGACTCCAATTCATACAAAGGCCCAAAACAAGATCATAGTACATCAACATACTTCACCCAAATAGGATCCAAAAAGCGCTTTCTTTTCTCAAGAACTTGTTCAGCAGAAGGACCCAAGTAAGGTTTAGGCTGATAATCAAAGGGCGGCAACTGAGGCGGCAAGGAAGAAGAAGAATCATCATCACTAGGAACCGCCGAGAGCGAACTGCACAGACTCCTACAGTTCCCATAAAGCACCAGCTTAAAACGCCATTAAAAAAAAAAAATTTAAGAAATCAAAAACAATTTAGAAGATAAATTTGTTAAAAACTTAAAAATCAACAAATATATTATATATTTTCCATTATTTATACGTTCAAAAAATTAAAAGTAGATAATTAAATAATTAAAAATCCAATAACATATTTTCATATTATTTAAAAATTTAAAAACATTTTTAAAATTAAACCTGAAAATGAAATAAATAGAAACAAAAAACCAAAAAACAAAAAAAAATACAAATATATTTTACAACTATCTAAATGGCCTCCATTTCTTTTCGTTTCTTTTTCTAATTTTATTATTATTATTTTTGGAGAGTTTTTTAGTTAAATCTGATTTTATATTTTTAAATTTATAAATACTTAGTAAAATATTGGGAATTATTGAATTACTTTTTCCTGGTTACCGCGTAAACTTCCCACTCCACATTTTTTCACTCGGCAACAACATTCCCTTTCCATATTTAAATTATGAACAAAAAATTGGACAGTCACCGTATCGAAGAGGAAAGTTGGTGATTCGTCTATCATATCCAAGGAATACGTGATCATATCCAAGGAATACGTGATCTGTGTCAACATAGTCAGGTCCACCTAAAGTGCATTGGAATGATTGGGTACCATATTCACCTGCTAAAATGCAGTCAAAGCCCACTGACAAACCGTGTCCTTCATTATTATGATTGTTTTGAAACTCTACAACGGCGCAGACAGCAAGACCATAGAAGAAGTTAAATGCGGTCAAATACCGTCTCATCTTGAAAGTTATAGTTGATCCTGTTCTTTGAAAGTGGAACCATTCTGGAATTTCGTTTCCTGGGAAAAAGATAAAAGCCCTACCTGGAGCAGTAAACTGTAAAAAATAAATAAATAAACAAAATAAAGCTCATCAGTTTTGGGACATCATTAAACTTCTTGTTACAATGAAAGAAATTAAAATCATATGAAATAAGCAATAGAGAGAGAGACCTCCTTTGGTTTTTCAAGAATCTTAAATTTCTTTAGAGCATCTTCCACAATTTTTCCGAACGCAATTTGATCCACCAGTTTGAAACAATTGATAAAGTTCACTCTTAGGTTTTGGGGAGAATTTCTGGAGAATAGAATTGACAAACTTGGTGATGCTTCCAGTGACACGCAATTGTGTGCATCAATACTTACTAATTGACATGGAAGTTCTGGTAATGATCGAAGCTTCGCGCATTCGCTTAAGTCAAGAGAAGATAACATGGAAAGGTTTGTGATGCTTGCTGGAATGCTCTCAAAATTGTTTCTGCCTAGAAGTAAGCTCCTTAGTGAGGATAGTTGACCAATATTGTTAGGTAACTCCTCGATACAACAATTGGTCAGATTTAATTCCTTCAGAGCTTTTAAATATAGTAAGTTGTCAACAAATCCATCCAGTTTTGAACATCCTGAGAGATTCAGATGTTCAAGAGATTTCAACTTACAAATATTGCTTGGAAGACTCTTAAGCATTGAACAATTTTTGAGATTCAATATAACTAGTTTGGAAGGCTCTTCTATCCTTAGCGGCAAATCCTCTATTGCAGTTTCGTCTAAAAGTAACTCTATTGCATTACTCGAGATCTTCGGAAGCATCTTTAGATTTGAGCAATAAGAGAGGCTGATTTTTTCAAGAGATCCTAATTCAATGCTAGTTGGAAAACAATGAAGGTTTTTGCAGTGCCTTAGATTTAAGATAACAAGTTTATCAAGCCTTTGAATAGAAGAGGAAATCTCATACAAACTTGAACAACCTTCTAAAATTAAACTTTGAAGATTTGGGGCCAATGAAAGATCATGAACTTTTAGAAGCTTCGAATGACTGAGGTCAATAAATTTCAATTTATGAAGCTGTATGACAGGAAAGAAATGATAGTTAGTAACATTAATATACAACAGAAAGATAATCGCATAAATATCAACATATTACCTTAGCACCAGGCCAAAGTTGTTCAATATTGCTATAAGGCATATCAAGTGCCACAAGGTTCTCCGGCAAGAAATTTGACAACAATGATTTCAACGAGCATCCATGCCAACAAAGGTACCTTAGCTCTATAGAAATAGAATTAAGGCCTTCAGAAACAAGTACCCCACTACTGTTATTCTACTGAAACCACAAGGACTAAAAAGAATTACTCTAGCGGAATGCCAACATAAATCAGCAAAATTAGTAAGCCATTGAGATTGTTCTTGTGTACTAGTTCTCTTGCTGCAGTGGCAATTGTCAAAGTTTGAGTATAGGCAAGCGGTAGCAGAGAAATGAGACAACTGTATGCCTAGAGGAGAAAGAGAGAACAAAAATATTTTCTGCATTCAATTGTATATTGTGTATTTGTACAATCTTCAATTTATACACATTTGTAACAATAAAGAAGGAATACAATCATGTCATGAAGGCCTAATCACACAAATTATGCTAACGGATATTTGACATTCAAGAGAAAAATCAATCACTCCAATCACTCTATGATTATCTCCACCAGATCTCAATCTTCCATGATATGGTCATCAGCAATGACAGAGTTCATATCTTTTGATTTGGGGAATTGACAGAAGCAAACTGTTACTATTAGAATCCTTTTTTTTTTTTTTTTAAAAGAACCCAATATGATTTAAAAAGCAATTTACCTGTTAGAACTCATCCTAATCTACAAAGACATAATATTAGGCAGGCAGCAGGCATCGATCTTCGGAGAAAGAGATGAAAATAATAAAGAATAAGGCAAGGCATCTTCCGAGAAAACAAGTGAAAGTGAAAATAAAGTATAATAATTGTCATTGTCACAGGGGTGGTCTGATCACCTGCACCGAAGAGAGAACAAAAAAGTGAAAGCACTTAAATTTTAACTATTCTTAAGCGATATGTAATCAACAAACAAAAATTTAAAAATGAAAAAGAAACAAAAGTCCATTAAGATTTAGTTTAATCAGTTTTCCCTAATTTTAGAATAATCGGCTTTAAAAATATTTTGTGTTGGGGTTCCTAATCGACTAAGCACAATCACCAATGAGTTAAAAATAGGGTAATTCTTCCATCAATAAAGCCTTTTGGGGAAGAGTTAGGTCCAACTCCAACAAGTGGTATCAGAGTCAGCCCCATTTAAGCTGAGTGATTGACCAGCGGTGGGCTGTAAACTACCTTCATTCATAGGCAAGTGAACATATGGGCTTGACCATGAATGGGAGTGTTGGAGATCCCACATCGACTGAGCACGCTCAAGCCAGGGTTATAGAGTAGGTAATCCTCTCACTAACAAAGACATTTGAATGAGGAGTTAGGCAACTCCAACAGGGATGTGTTTATAAATGACTTCTAATTGTGTATGGTAAATTAATATTTTATAATTCTAATTATATTTTTAGTAATAATAAATATTAAAATAATTTATGTGCGGGCCTTGATGTAGCTTCGCCCCTGCTTTGGTTCATGAACCTTTGAGAAAGTTTTGATTAATTAATCACTTTTAAAATAAAATAAGTAGTAAAACCTAAGAAAATTTGCGCGGGCATGCGTCTTCCTGGAAAAAAAAGATGAAAAAAATAAAATAGAAAAAGGCACAGCAATCAATCAAAGACTAGAGATAGTGGAATATAAACTCCTTTAATCTCTTATGTAATGTTTTAGTTTAGTCTCCTACGTTTTGTTAATGCGCAGTGCCTCTCATCACTGGAACTTAATGCTTCTTTTCTTCTTCTTCTTCCTTCTTCTTTTCCACTACTCCTAAAACTAAAGTACGAAGTTTTTCTTAGTTTCCGAGGTGAGGAGACCCGGCAAACTTTACAAGCCATCTGTGTGAAGCCTTCAACCGGGAAAACATTATACTTCATTGATGATAAACTTAACAGAGGAGAAGAAATTTCTTCAGCTCTTTTGAGTGCAATTGAACGTCAAAGATCTCGGTTATCATTTTCTCTAAAGGGTACGGCTCTTCAAGATGGTGTCTCAAAGAACTTGAAAAGATTATTGAATGCAAGAAAAAGTATGGTCAGATTGTAATTCTGTCTTTTATCACGTAGATCCATCAGAAGTAAGGAAACACAACTGGGATTTTGGGAAAGCATTTTCTCCGCTTGAAGATCGTTTTGAGTTTGATGATCCAGATATGTTGCAGAGATGGAAGAGTGCTTGACGGACACAGGCAACTATCTGGCTTTGTTTCAATAACAACAGGTAATGTTAATTATTATTAATGATGTCTTTTATGTCGTAATTTTACTTTCGGTCATTTTTTTTTTTTTTTTTTTTATCTCTTCAAATTTACTATGTTTTAATTTTATTTTATAGTGATAAAAATTATTTACTTAATATATTAATACCATTTTTATCAATACAATTATAACAATCCGGCTAGACGATGAAATGAGAAAACCTATAAAAGTAGAATATGATTATTAAATTTAAAGAATTTGTGCTATATCTAAACCTTAATTTATTAAGTGTGTCATTATGTGTTTTAGTTACATATAATCTACAATTTCGTTTACTGTATTTTTGCTTAATTATTGGATGGGATTACTAAATGTATATGATGTACATGGTCTTTTTTTAATCTAAAATCTCATTTAGCTGTTTTTAGCCTTAATTTATTAAGGCAGTAGAGTAGGTTAATACTCTATTCCATAAAATTCATATCCTAGGATGGAAACTACTGTATTCTAATCTTTGACCGGTTTAGGAAATAAAATTTATTATGTTTGTTTCTTTTTCATTTATCTAATTTTATTATTATTATTTTTTATATATATTTTACTTATTAGGTACGAGTCACAACTTGTACAGGATATTGTCAACAAATTTGAAGCTATTGGTGAGGAGTACTCGGTAATTGACAAGAGAAAACTAGTTGGACTAGATTCAACAGTCAGCAGATGAAAAATTATTATGTACGGTCGGTGTTTGCCAACTAGGAATTTGGGGCATTGGGGTATAGGTAAAACGACTCTTGTGATGCTGTATTCAGAAAAAATCTCTAAACAGTTTGAAGCTGCTTACTCATTCGAAAATTAGAGAAGAATCGGAGAAAAGCGGGGGACTAAATGACTTGCGCCAAAGACTTAGTTCTAGAGTTTTAGGGGATAAACATTCCAATAGTGGGTTCACCTTGGAAAGAAAAAGGCTTGGCCGTGTTCTAATTGTGCTTGATGATGTGACAAAATTAGACAAATGGAAGTTTAATGGAAGAATTTGGTGCTCGGACTCGAAAGTCGAATATCATAACGGCAAGGGATGAACGAGTACTAAAAGAAGTGATCACATACTGAGATGAAAGGATTACCTCATGATAACGCTTTTCAGCTCTTTAACAGATATGCCTTCGGAGGAAATAGTCCAGCAGAAGATTAATTGAGCTATCATCAAGGGCAGTAGCATATACTAAAGGTGTTCCTCTTGCTCTTAAAGTTTTAGGTTCCTCTCTATTTGAGAGACAAAAGAAGATTGGAAGTATTTAGAATTTGAAAAGAAATCCTCGTATGGATATCCATAACGTATTGAATGAAGTAAGTTATGATGGCTAGATAATAAACAAAGCAAGTATTTTAGATATTGCATGTTTCTTTAAGGGTGTGAAAGGAGCTTATAGAAGAAGTTGGATGCCCGTGGCTTCACCGCACGTATTTGTATAGATGTTCTCATTGAAAGGTCTCTCATAACTACCTCATCCAACATCGTAACAACCTCAACCAACATCAGAACTACGTCGTCAAACATCATGAAACTTCACCAAAATTATAACAACCTCATCCAACCTCATACAATGCATGATTTACTTCAGAAATGGGTAGAGAAATTGTTCGTGAAGAATCAGCTGATAATCCTGGCGAACGTAGTAGGTTGTGGGATCATGAGGAAATCGCTCAGTATTGAAAAAAATAAGGTGAGAGCCAAAACACTAATTTTTTATCTACATTATATATGAGAAATGATAAATATTAGCTTGCAGAATATTCTTCCATTATCATTGGGAATCAGCTTAACTGGTAAAGTAATTAGGTGGGAATATGAGGTATCTTATATTTACATATTTGAAAAATAATGTTTAATATGAGAATTAAGTACTTGAACATTATGTAATTGAGAAATTTCAAACTAATTTATCATCATCTGTTCTTGATTTTATAGGCGAAAGGAGCCATTCGAAGCATAAGCTTGGATAGTCTAAAGCAAAAGAGATACGTTTACAGCCTAAAGCTTTCAACAAGATGCATAACCTATGGTCTTGGAAGCCTATGGCTCACCGCGGAACAAGGTACAGGGTTTTGAAGAGCTTCAATCTGATTTCTCTGAGCTAAGGTACCTTTGTTGGTTTAATTATTCTGCCGAATCATTGCACGAGATTTGATCAGAAACCTTGTTGCACTGTACATGACTGATAGCAAAGTTAAACAACTTTGGCTGGTAAAAAGGTATTTTTTAACTTTTATAGTACCATTTTGTGCTTTAATTCTAAATATTATATAGTTCTTTTTTTTTTATTTTTCAATTTTTTTTTTTATTTTTTTTACAGAAACTTAAAAGTTGAAGCTATTGACTCAGTCATTCCAACCATCTACTCCAAATGCCAAATCTCTCATTAATTCCAAATCTCAAAAGCTTGATTCTACAAGGTTGTACAAATTTGTATGAGGATTCTCATCTATCCGTGATCTCAAAAGCTTGTCCTCTGAATCTCGAGAATGTAAAGAATTTGAAAGTCTTGCATCAACCCTGGTTGTAAATCTCTTCGAACACTTATCTCTCCAAGTGTTCAAATCTGAAAACGTTCCATATATCCCCCTACGGTAGAAGAGCTATATTTAGATGGAACTGCAATAAAAGAATGTCGTCATAAAGCATCTTTCCAGCTAAAAATATTGAGTCTTGAAAATTGTCAAAGTGGAGAGTCTCCCAGAGAGCATTCGTGAATCAGAAGATCTTCGAATAGTATTCTGTCCAATTGTTCAGAGATCAAAACAGTTCCATGCATCCTAGTGTTGTAGAAGAATATATTTAGATGGAACTGGATTGAAGAATTGCCGCCATTAGAGAACTGCTAAACTAGTTAAATTGAGTCTTAAAAATTGTTTAAGACTAGAGAGTCTCCGGAGAGTATTTGTGAGATTAAATCTCTTCGATATCTTTATCTTTCGGGTTCTTCAAACTGACAGATTGCCTAGCGGCCTGAAAAATTAAAAGCACTGAGGAACTTGAAGTGGAGGGAATTGGTATAACCGATATACCATCGTTGACTTTGACATGTTTGAAAAACCTTAGAAATTATCTTTCCTGAGATGTGGCTTCAGAACACCGGTTTCTCTACTGTCACAGTTACCGGCCGCACAAGCTGGAGCAGCTAAATCTGGAAGACTGTTGTATCGAAGTGCTACCCGAAAATCTCAGCGAATTACGCTCACTGACATTTTTATATCTTGGCGGAAACAATTTGGAGTCTGCCAGAGAGTATCAAAGACCTCTCTAAGTTGTATGAGCTTGATTTAAGCAATTGCCAGAGGCTGAAATCCTTACCGCAACTTCCAGAAGGTCACTACGTATAGAAGCAAAGGGTTGCCCATCAATGGAAGCGGTATCAGGTTTACAACTCAGTGCCTAAGTATGGGACTCACAACGAGGAAATTAGCTCTCATCATTGTTGCAGTCTGAAACTAGATTTGAATGATACTCTGCTGAATATTGAGAGAAAAGCAGATTATGGTTTAGGTCGAAGTAGTTAACTCTCTCCTCTCTTTTTTCATATTATAAATAAATAAAGTTAGAAGTTGATGATTTTGTTGGCACAGGAAAACACAACATCGCTGTCAAGGGTTAACCTGCCAAAGGCATATAGCCTGCCAAGGCATGCAGCCTGCCAAGGCTTCTTTATGTTACCCTGGAAGCGACATTCAGATTGGTTTAACTTTAAAAGTCGAATGGTTATATAGAGCTTCCATCAGATTGGCTCAATGATGACTTAATTGGTTTCGCTTTGTGCGCTGTTTGCATCGTTTCGAGACCATGAAGAGGCTGAACCTCTGCAGTTCGTTGTTTCTGGTTGTTGGCGAGACGATCGTTCCTCTGGCTGTTTGTTTAATGATTATGGACATAAGGTTATTGAATCAGATCATGTATTCTTAGGATATGATTATGATATCATGGCCTTGAATTGCTTACTCTCAGCTCGAAGAGCAAGGGCTACTGGAGTTTTTTTGTGAGCATGGAAAATAATTGCAGAGAAAAAAACCAAGTTGAAAAATTGTGAGTCAGACTGTTGTACGCCAAAGATAATTATACGAGAACAGATGGAAGAGTGGAAAGAGACCAGAGATTTCCATATATAAATGGCTGCTTGAGGTGCCATCTCTATTGCTGCGTGGAACATGATGAAATGGACGAAAAAAAACCATATGAAATTTTAGATAGCGGTCCCGTATTCAGAAATATACAAGCCACCAATAAGAGGGATTAGTAAGTTGGATTAAATCACGAAATTATACGGTTTGGTTTCTAATATTTGGTTTCTACGTGAAGCAACTAATCTTTTTATTTCAAAAGAAAAAAAAAGGATTATACAATGATCTTGCATTATATATTTACATGTAGAAATAACATATGGCTATGTTATATTTTTTATTGATGTAAATATTCACTGTATTTTACGTTCAAATTATACGGGTGCAAAGTGGTTGCACCCATCTGCATCGGAAGCGCAGGACTGGCTAGACCGGTGTTGAAACTTGAGGTTGGAATCTTCTTAAGGAAAGGTGATGTAACTCCAAACAGATGACTGATTATTACAAGGTTATTGGACAATTTGAATGATTCTCTTTACTTCCCATGTCCCTCCGGCTGTAAAATGATGGCTGATGCTGTGGCAAGTTCAGCACGGCAGGTTTCTTCTTGCTTTGTTGGGAAAATCTCACAGGGAAATCAAGGCTTTTTACTCCATTTTGCGCATAAACGGAGGAATTTTTTTTAAAACATAATTCATGCCTATGCTCTGCCGTTCTCCATCTGTTCAAGAATTTGAAGTTATATATATGCTTTTTTTTTCTTATGTTATTCGTTGTCTTTTCAGACTGGCTTGATCTCGTTGCACATGCTCACGATTTAGCTGGCAACTTGGCGCGTGAACATCTCAATGTTTTCTGGATTTTCTTCCCTGGATCGAATTATGTTAGCGGACTACTGTGAGTGGACACATGCTGTTTTGATATTCTGGTGCTTCGCTTTTTGGACTGTGAAAGGATGCTGATTGCACTTTAATAGTGTTGTAAGGACATTATGTGAATGTTTGTTTTGTTTTGAAACACTAGTTATTGTGAACTTAAAATTCCTGATGTTTCTGCCTTCTGAGGCTGCTAATCTTTTACTTGCATTATCAGATTTGTTCCAAATAGTTGGACTTCTCTATCAAATATTTCCAGCTTTCTATAATCTTTTACTACTAAAACTAATAGTTGGACTTTCAACCAAGATTGATTCAAAATATACAATCATTCTGTGAAAGATGTATATAGACATTGCAAATCTTTGATGCTGCGTACGTGCGTATTATTGAAAATAGCTTTCTGAAGAGATGATACTCCCAAGGATTTGAAGGTACATGATTTTTCCAGCTCTTAAAGACTAATACTCTCATAACTTTGACAATGCATAGTCCAAGCATCAACAAGAAAATCGCATTTCCATAACAGAACAGTGTGATTAACATTTGACAAAACAAATTACAATAACAGATTCAACGGCTAATGGTAAAATCTATTGATGAAAGGAAGTTACAGAAAGTTACCTGCATCATCTTTGGTGAAACACATTGGTGGTTGATTCTGAAAACATTCCATGCAGTCCACCTTTCCCAAGAAGAACACCCAGCTCTGCAATTGCAACGAGTCAAGTGAAAATGTGAATTAAGAGCTCTTCTCATAAGAAGACTGCAGTTTCAGCCTTTGCAGGTGTCTTCCCTCCCTATCAGTTACTAATTCTACTCCCACCTGAGTCCTCTCCCTCCGCATCTCCAATGACTGAAACAGATTTCATCAATGTGGAGAAAAGTGCATGATAAAATTGCAATTCAAAGCATAAGACATTTAATCTCAGGTACTCAAACAGATGTATAAGCAAAAGACATATTATATATTAGTTTTTATAGTACCCAATCCACACCTTCATTTCATATGATGACATGAGTCAATTGGTTCTTCCGATACAACTCCAAATGTCGTTATAGCAGAATGATTTATTTTCAGTGCTGCATGA